CTCACTCACTCACTCACTCACTCACTCACTCACTCACTCACTCACTCACTCACTCGTTCAATCGTGAACACATTTACTTTTATATCATTCACTATATCGTTTACTCACTCACTCCCTCCCTCCCTCCTTCCCTCCCTCACTCACCCACCCACTCACTCACTCACCCACTCACTCCCTCCATCCTTCTCTCACTCTCTCTCTCTCTCCCTCCCTCCCTCTCTCACTCACCCACCCACTCACCCTCTCACCCACCCACTCACTCTCCCACTCCCTCCCTCCTTCCCTCTCTCGCTCTCACTCTCCCTCTCTCCCTCTCTCCCTCACTCACCCACCCACTCACCCTCACCCGCTCCCTCCCTCACCCACCCCCTGTCCCTAGGTCCGCATGCAGTACCGCGTGGTGGGCTCGGCAGAGGTCCTAGACTACAGCCCTGTGGAGGAACTTCGTCAGGCCACCGTGCACGAGGTAGACCAGAAGAGCCGTCTGGTGGGCTACTTCTTCTCCTTCATCTCTCACGTGCTGGCCTTCACCTTCCTCCTCATCTTCAAGAGCGCCTACGAGTACAACAAGTCAGTGTATCGCTGGGTTTTTTATATTTTTTAATTTTTTTTAGTAGAGTTTTTACGACGCTCGCAACTGCATAAAGTCATATGAGCGAGCTCATATGACCTTACGCAGTTGCGAACGCCGTAAAACCCTATACTACTACTACTACTACTAAGTCATATGAGCGCCAGATTATTAGAAGAGTTACAAGAGAGCAACAACCATAAAACGAAGGAGGGGTGATAAGAGCGATAGATGTTTGATAGCAAAGAAGAAGCAAACCACACAAAAGCACCCGCCAGCCACACATATCGTTTTTTTTTGTCGAGATTTTACGGCGCTCGCAACTGCATAAGGTCATAATAATATGAGCGCCAGATGATTAGAAGTGTTACAGGAGGGTAACAAACATAAAAAAGAAGGAGGGGAGATAAGGACGATACATGTTTGATAGGAAAGAAGAAGCAAGCCACACCAGAGCACCCGCCAACCATCCCTATCGTTGTTGTCGTAAGCAATCCACCCAAGTCTAGGCGATCATAAATCAGGCAGCGCAGCCAATAACTACACACCTTGCTTGTGGGCTG